CGATCCCAATACGAAGTTCGCGAACATCAGGGATATCCATCGGGCTCAAATCGAAGCGGGTGAAAAGGAGGTTATCACGGCTGAATCCAGCGACTCTGAATGCCCTAGTGAGGCTGGCAGCTGTATTGTAGTGGGTGTGGTTGAGGATCAATAGTTAATAGTAATGAGGAGGTTGGGTTGTGATCCCATCGTTTTTGTGGTGCCAGAAACAGGGGGGTGCCAGGAAGTGGGTATGTTGACTTACAGGGAATTCCGGGAAATCGACCATCTGAAACTCCAGCACAAGCCCATGTTCCTTAATTGGTGGTTTGTACGTCATCCGTGCCCTGGAAGAATTTGAGATGGGATGGAAACATCGGGTATTAATAAATGTCACCTCCGTCCCGTTCAGCTGCCAAGTCTTAAGCGAACGTTCCCCTGAGTCGAATCCCGAGAGTGCACTTGTTCTCCTACATGGTGCTGGAGTTCTGTTCCCATAAGTCGGGTCTGATATCTAGTAGCTACCCGGGTTTCAACTAAATCACTCAGGGCAAAATCATCCTTCGCTACTCCGTAAAGAGTATCGATAGCTGAAGAGATGGTGGGCCCTGCCTGACAAGAACGCTTTTTCCAACGAATCCCATAGCGAATATTGCAGAGATGCGAGAGTGATAGCTCAAGCACCCATTCAACCTCAAAAACACACATGTTGAATTTGGTATATGACTCTTGACCAAGACCCCTATTTCGGATGTAAACCCATCAGATTATTACGGCAGTTCTAATGGAGTCTCTAAACCCCTTAAAAAACTTCATAGAAGGGTCGGAAGCTGTTCCATAAAAGTCGGTGAAACCTACGCGCTCGCAAAAATGAGCAGGTCCGCCAGGCATAGTGCGGAGTACCATCAAACAGTATGTTTCAGATCTCTTCTTACTGACAGACGGGCTCGGCAATGTGCAAACAATCCAACAAAAGTACTTGTCAGTGTCCCTCACTGTTTCCGTTGGTCGATCGAAGTAAAATGGAATTTCCTCTGAGCTTCTTACCATGACGCCTGCGGATTGATCTCGTGATGTCACTAGCACCGAAATGTCGAGAAAGACGCCGCTAACAGTTATACCTCCCCCAATCACCGCGCCCGTTTCATCTTCTGTTGCTGGGATGATGCCGACATTGCGGACAACGGTTTTACTGAGGAAGCGCGGAGTGACTGGCTCTTCCGAACCGCCATAAGGGATCCACATGGTGATAGGTCCGTTATGGGCAGCCCAAGACCACGACGGAGCAACGTAATCTTGTGAGTAGGTACGCTCGGTTTCCCTGTTCCTTACAGGCGCCCAACACAAGCTGCACAGAAAGTCGCGATCTAGCCAGTGACCGGCAGCGTACTTTGTTCGGAGACTTGACTGCACGACCCGGGCGACTCCAGATAGTGCAGTAAGCCTATCGGTGGCCACCGTCAGCTTCCGTCGGGTGTAGTGCTCCACGGTACTCTGCCACATCCAATTTGGAGTTTCCATATTGCCTAGCTCCAAGCGAGGCTCGTACAGCTCCTTGATCGTGACAAGGCCCAGGGGTGCGGCGGGGAATGCACATTCGCATCGGTATTCGTCTTCAAGACATTGGAAGTTCATCTCGCCTCCAAAAAAGGTGAGGAGTCGAGACGCAAGTACTTCCTCTTGGAAACACCAGCTGCGGCTCAGTGTTCCGCGGGATTTTGGTTCCGCCAATGTGGACCAACCAAGCCAACTGTGGTCCGGCATTGCTCTGGCAAACACGCTCCAGACAGTTCCTTCGCTCCCGTACTCCAGATTTTCAAACTCCGAAGACTGGAACTTTACGAGTTCTCGTGGGAGCTGTGGTGTAGAGAGGAAGCCTTCCTCAACACTATTGGATTCAGCAGCCGCAATCACCAGAATTGCGTTTCCGTAGATTTCCGCCATCTGTGAAGACTGCTCGGCCCAGTCTTTTGAGTCGGTATCGCCTTGAATGATACAAAGACCGTCAATCCACAAAAAAGGAATATCCAAGAATGCAGTAACCGTGACGGCGTCCTTGTATGTTTGGGGAAGACTGTCGAACGGGAGGTCGTCTAGGCGATCATGAAGATTCTGTGTCGTTGTCACAGCCGTATTTTGTCGACCCCATGTATAGCTCAGACAGGCATAAACACCACAATCCGCCATAGAATCCATGAGACGCAGCCGTTTCTCTGAACCAAACTGTCGAAGATCAAGGACTCTTCGAGGTAATTTTGAGATCTGGCGGTGAACCTCAAGAAATGGAGTTTTTTGAAGACTCGCGCCTGAGCTTTCACCTTTTTCTGAATGTTTCTCATTTTTGCCACCAACTACATCTTCATGGTCTTCTTGAAATGTCTTGGCTGCTAGTCCACCACTGCATTGATGGTTATTGAGGCAATGATGGATCCATGAATTTGCTTGTTGCAGCCTCCCCTGCCAGCTCTGTTCAGAACTTCGCCCTTGAGTCAGGAGAATAGTTTCTTCAACATTGAGTGGCCGCCCTAAGACATCTTTATTAGCGGCAACATTCCTTTCTCTGGGCATCCAGGGGCATTGCCTTTCTTTATGAACAGCTCAAGGTTCCTCTCAGGCCCAGCGGCTAGATCATCAAGTATGTGAAATGGATAGCACAGCTCTATCGTTTCCACCAATGGAAGCAGAGCAAACGCCGACTTGGCGCAGTCGCCTGTCCTACACAGTCTAAAGGCTTCTGGCCGACATTTCTCACACTTAGAGCGAGTCGTAAAGTTTCTCCATTCGGGAGAAAAGTGTGCCAATGCCTTTTCAATGATGGAGCATCCAACGCACCCATCACTGGAACGGCTATGCACTTGACGTAAGTCAACTATGACAAGATTCGACAGATTCGAGCCATGATCTCGACTAATTCTATTCAATCCAAGGCCCTGGCAAAAAGCGCATTCAATGAGGGTAGGGCTGTCCAGTAGAAGCTGAGGTGTTTGTGACATTGTGTGATATCGTCAGAAGCGGGGTAAAACAGGGGCATTGGTTTTCCCTCTGCTCCTGACTTGAAGTCGGAGATGGGATAATGCGATCAAAGTCTCGGAAGGAAATAGTGTGACTTCCTACAAGTTTGAAACAGTTCATCCAAAATTCCCGACCAATGTATCATAAGTGTAGAGGCATACCTCCAATTGTTGATCGGTGAGAGATTGCTACCGGAGTGATAGCAGCTACCGCTCCCATCACCTACCGTGTGATGACTAAGGCAAAGGATGCCGCCAGTACGACACCTGACTCCACTCCATTTGCTCAATTACAAATGCCACAACTTGAGCATTGAAGTTAACAAGAGATTTGTCGTTCTCCCTAGAGAAAAGGAGACATAAAATTGCACTAATATTTTGCCAGTCCCACATGGTTCATATACATGTAATGTCATAAGGTACTTGATTCAATTCAATCAGGTTCCAGACGACTGTGCGTCTGCTCTACCAAGCTTGTGTGCGAAGCCTCAGCCGCTCACCAAGCCATCCACTGAATCCTTCACACGCTAATGCTGACGACTAAATTTAGATCCTAATCCTTCTCCAACTTTGTATGTATGCTGTGCTCCGACTCGCACTTAGCCTTGCACTTTCCCTTAGCTTCATTTCCAACACGTGCATCACCGAGATCGGCCGAAGTTCATCGGATCCCGCTGTGGTTCATCCAGAGCTTCTGCGAGGCGAAGTTGGACACCATTGACAGAAGCCTATGTTTATGCTTATCCGGATGACATTTCATTCTTGTGTCCATTGCTGCGGACCACTTGGCGGACTTACTGAGGTCTGCATCGAGGCTTGTTCGAGCCCTGCCGCAAGCCGTAATACAGGCTAGGCCCGTCGTGACACTCTTCCAACGGAAGCCCACCTTAGCTCCAGCTCCAGCCTCACCGAGCATAGCAATCATGCGGCCATCGTGAGAGCGCTGGTCATCCTTTCAGTGATACATAAAGCCACGGCTCTTTTCCAGATTACCCACCACTACCACTACCTCAACAGTTCATTTCCAAACTAGCTTCTCTAATTCAGAGTTTCGTCGCATCACAACTTGCTCCAACCTGCCCAACACATACTTCGTACTATTATTCAGGCTTGGCTCCAACGCAATACAATGTCTTCCAAGCTCATCCTCACCCTGGGCAGCATCATTTCTCTCGCTGCGTCGCTACCCCACGCAGCTCGCGAGTGCACCCCAGCTTTAACACCGGGCATAATCGCTCATCCTCAACACTTCAACGTCTATCAGTCCGCCACGCAACCGAACCACCCCACAGACAACGTCCCGCATCTCGACCTCCACACCAATATCACCCGCCAGGTCGTCATTTTCACCGGCATTCCGTCTTCGGCTACGACTTGCTCACTCGGCTGGCGCCAGGGACCAATTGAAACCCGTGTATTCCGCGTCGACGGCAACGGCCTCGTCTCTTCACGCCAGCTCAAGTCCGAAGGCTTCCCAACATGGACCAAAGGAAGCAACGTTCTGATCAACCCCACGACCATCGCGCCGTTTCAAGAAGGCAGCGAATTCTCGGCAGGCATGGATTTCACATTCTGGGACCAGCCTGAATTCTCCGCCCCTGCGACACACGGCGGCCCGAGTGTGAAGTGTGAGGAGAGAATCGTTGTGGAGTTGGCAGTCAACCTTAACAATGGACAAGATGGTCGGGTGTTCATGCAAGATGATGCCGATAATGGCCTGTACATCTCATACTCTTGAAAGAGGTTGCACTAAGCAAGGTGTTTGATTTCGCATTATAATTAATGGGATGGAGTGTAGGCGTAATATCATCTCTCAGCATTGCATAGACATATCGAATTGATAAATAAAACTTACTCATATCCGATAAATTTCAATACTTCATTATGCATTTTACTTGCACTCTTATGACTTGGAATAGCTCTAAATCTTGGTGATATACGAGTTGAGGATCAGTACTTGGAAAACATAGGGCACCGCTGTCACATAGACGGTCAGTACTTCAGGACACTTTGATAAAGACATCTGTCACTTGTTTGCGATTGCCACCAAGCAGACTTGGGCAACTTTGTCACTGCTGGATCAATGGCATATTGCCTTGCTGTTCCAGAACTACATCTACCTGCGGCATTCGGGATTAGACTAATTAGGAGTTGGAAGGTTTCAATTCTCTTTCCAGCGAGCAAGCAAATGAGATCTTCCTCGAAAGATATTCCCGCATCTTTCTGTCATGATATCCTACACAACTAGTGTTTGAACTAGGCGAATATCATTCGGTGCATTTATCTCAATGTTCTCATTTACAAGTTTTGCCTACATCTCAAGCGAGCAATAGTGAACACAGCACCGAATTAGAGGTTACGCGTGTGAGTATCAACGATACTTGAACTCACATTGGTAATCGATACACCTAAACCATCTTTGAGGCGATAGCCGAACTAAAACTCTTCCTAAGCTAAGTTTCTCTTCCGTAACGCTTACCTCAATAAGTGATTTCAGAAACGCTCTGATGTCACAAGGATTCCAAGGTGTCTACAGTTGCTGAATCATCTGCGTCAGCAGGTTGCAGGACGAGAAGTTGGGGTAATAGTGATTAAACAGCGGTACGTACCGCGTCAGCAGGCTGCAGTAGTGTGCATGAATCAAGTGGACCTTCGCTTCGAGGCTGAGGTAGACCATCAACGTCAAAGAAGCATATTCCATTTCCCGACTAAACATACAGCCGTCAAATCACAGCATCATTCTTAAATCCGAGTCTGTTCAAACCTCTTTGCTGACGTCGCTTTTGGGTAGCTTATGACTCTTTACTTCGCTTTGTAGGGGCATATTGTCAAGGAAACTAATGTCCACTGCCAGAAATGGACTACCGTCCACCTCCTCACACCAAGGTGAAGCAATCTCCGTCTGCAGCTCGGAATCGGATCATGTCTTGCTGCCCAATCGACTTGCCATCTCCGTGCCCCAAACCCGCAATCATGTAGTCACAACATCAGCATGCTGCCACATTCCTCGCCCTTTTCAACCGATATCAGCGAGACGTCAGTTGTACGCTCCATGCGTTAGGACTTCTCCAACTTAATTCCGAACGCTGTTGATCGATGGTGTGCATCTAATTCTAGTCACTGCGCTGCCAAATGCCGATGTTGGAGCAGCACGCTAAATCTTGTTGTGGGAAACCTGCTCAGTGCCATGACAGGATAGTGTGCTCTGTCATGAAAGCGAATGTTATAAGTACTGCTGACAGCTCTTCTATAACATATGTGATACACTCTAAACCTCACATCATTCATTTGACCAGCCCCAACCGGTTGTTTTGGAAACAATCCCATCAAATATCTTACTTTTTGAACACACAAAACCATCCAATATGGCCCCTCAACTTCAACAACCCCTAGACACCTACCTGGCTCGGCATCGCCAGCTTTCCCCGACGGCGGCCGTTCGCGTGTCCCCCCTCGCTCTTGGCGCCATGAACTTTGGAGAGAAGCAGAAAGCCACAATGGGCGAGTGTACCAAGGAGACCGCGTTCGAAATCATGGATCACTATTACTCTCAGGGCGGTAACTTCATCGATACCGCAAACAATTACCAGGCCGGCCAGTCCGAGGAATGGGTCGGCGAATGGCTCGCATCGCGAGGCAATCGCGACGACATTGTGCTCGCCACCAAGTACAGCAGTGCCTACCAGCTCCATGACAAGTCAAAGCTTCAATCCAATTACGGCGGCAACAGCACAAAGTCGTTGAAGCACTCCGTCGCCCGGTCTTTGAAGGCCCTCCAAACGACCTACATAGACATTCTGTATCTTCACTGGTGGGACTATTCTGCCTCCATTCCTGAGGTCATGCACTCACTCAATGATTTGGTCTCTTCTGGCCAAGTCCACTACTTGGGCATTTCTGACACCCCAGCCTGGGTGGTAGCCAAAGCAAATCAGTACGCCCGTCTCTCAGGACTTCGCCAGTTCGTCGTCTACCAAGGCAACTGGAACGCGTCCCTGCGCGACTTTGAGCGGGATATTATCCCCATGTGCCTGGACGAAGGCATGGGTCTTTGCCCTTGGGGCGTCCTCAACGCCGGCCGCTTCCAGACAGAGGAGGGCTTCAAGGAGCGCGAGAGGCACAATCCGGGCAGACAGAACAAAGTTTCGGAGCACGATAAGAAGGTTTCCAAGGCTT